GTGTTTTGCCTGTGTTGGAGTTCCTGTCCCCTCCAGGTCTATCTCCCTCTTCTTCCATAAGGTTTCCTGCCCCAAGTTTGGCTATGGGTCTCAATATCTGCTTTGATAGCCTGATGGGTAGAGTCTTTCAGAGGCCCCCTATGGAAGGCTCCTGTCCTGTTCCCTGTCTTCTACTACCGATGTCTTGATTTCCTTGTACAACAGCGGTTGTACAAGGTTCCATTCCCACCAGCAATGGAGGAGGGTTCCCCTTTCTCCACAACCTCTCTAGCATGTGTCACCGCTTGAGATGTTGATCTTGGCCATTCTGATGGGTGAGGTGAAATCTCAGGGTCGTTTTGATTTGCATTTCCCTGATGACCAAGGACGTTGAGCATTTCCCTGTTTAGCTCTGTCCCCCATTTTTTAATTGGATTACTTGGTTTGTTGGTGTTTTTAACTTCTTGAGTTCTTTATATATTCTGGATATTAGCCCTCTGTCAGATTCAGGGTTGGTGAAGATTTTTTCCCAGTCTGTAGGCTGGGAATCTGAAATCATCAGAATCTGGAAACAATCTAAATGTCCCTCAACTAAAGAATAGATACAGAAGTTGTGGTACATTTATACAACAGAATACTATTCAGCAGTTAAAATACAAGGAAATAATGAGATTTGCAGGCAAATGGTGGGAACTAGAAAAGACCATCCTGAGTGAGGTAACCCAGAAGCAGAAAGACACATTTGGTATATACTCACTTATATATAAGTAGATATTAGCCATATAATATAAGATAAACATACTAAAATCTATAGTCTAAAGAAGCTAAACAAGGAAGACCCTAGGGAAGAGGCTTAATCCTCATTCAGAAGCTGGATTCTTAACATGCAGGTGGAACTGCAAGATCATGTAGGCACTTTGAAAAGTGTAGTTCAGTAACAACTGAGAAAGTAACTGCATTGGTGGTTATTTATAAAAGTAAAAAGGGATTCAAGTTCCCCAAACTGAAAGCCACACTAGCCTACCAACTGGCTAATGGTGTATACTACAATATGCAGGATAAAAAGAATGATGGTACTGATGGACTGCACACATGGAGAAGAATCTGCCCTTCCTTTGAAACGTAAGGAAAACTGGAGCTATACAGATACTAATATGGCCCTACACAAAGATGACATGCAAATTTGTGATGCGTCTCTTCCGCCCAACGGACTTTTTAATCTTGGAACTAGGAGGACACTGTAGAAGGATGAAAACCTTGCATTGTCTTTTAAAGAATGACTGTTCAAGAAGCATTTGATTGTTGCTTCAACTGTGACAACTTCTACCACTGGCAGAAGACTACACCTTTGAGAGCATTTAGCATAGTCTGGCTGAGCTTCTGAATCTTGGCTTTTGCAGACATAATTTTTCCCAATACAGTTATTGAACCCGTCTTTGGCTCCATTTCAACCCATCCTAACCTGTCTCAGTGCTGGGCCCTCACTTAGGAAATCTTTTGAGGATAGTCTTTAACTAGATGTAGTAGTTATTGTACAAGGTACCTCTCCATGTCGGTCACTCATGATGGTGAAAAAGGCAGAAGTGATTTCTTGGAGTTGCTTAGGTGACTGTTTCTAGCAAGTAAATTCTTGAGGTTGGCATTCAGGGAAACTTCTTTTGCTGTGATGTCATTTAGGCTTTTCACTTTGGTGGAACAGTCAAATGTAGATAACATAACTCCATTTCTACTTGGCCCAGCTTGTTCCGTTTTGACATAGCAGGGTAGCAGAATAGCAACTTTTGATGCCATATGGCCTGACCACAGGTGTTCTGAAAGCACCACACCTGCTGGAACATCTCAGATGCGGCTGGGGTGGCTATCTCATGGGTAGCTAGATGTCAAGCAATTTTCCTACTTTAAATAAGGTGGAGAAATAAGTGAGGGAAATATCCCCGTATGAAACCCTGCTGTACCCGCATAAATAGAAAGCATAACAACAAAAAGGCTCCAATTCTGTAGCATTCTAGAAAAGGGGAAATAGCAGAAATAGCAAATTTATCTGTTACAAACCTCAAGGTGGGGATGGGAGTAGTTAAAAAAGGACACAAGAATTTGTAGGGGTGATATGACTTCTGATTTGAATGAACTGGTGATTTCATGATTGTGTATTCACTAAAGTTCACAGAAGTCTAGAAGGGGAAAGTTGTTTTTCTCGCTTAACCCACAAAGTAGTTCAAATAGGCTTAAAAAGAAGAGGACAGACCTGTATTTTACCTCACTAGGGAACCAGTTACTCTCACCTTGGAAACATCTTTATGAGCTGATAGTTTAGCTAGTAATCATTAGTTTCCAGTAGAGTTGCAGAGGCAGAGAAAAGATTAAAATGCAAAAATAATAATGTTAAAAGATGCAACTGTGGGGCTAAGGTATAGTTGGTAGAGCTTGCTTAGTACACAGGAAGACACCTGTGTTCCATCCTTAGCACCTTAACACAGCAATCCTGCCTCAGTTTCCTGAGTGCTGGGATTAGTTCTTATGTTATATACAGATTCATGGATATTTTTGTGGTTTTGTTTTTCAGTTTTATGTGTTGAGGGTGTTTTGTCTGCATGTATGCGTGTGTACCAGATGCATGCATGCTGGCCAGAAGAGTGGGGTTTGATGCCCTGAAACTGAAGTTATAGAGGATTGTGAGCTATCAGTCTTGTGTTAGAGGTGTGGCTAGCCTCTGGTATTGACAAGGTAGGCCAGGCTTGTTTCAAACTTTTGGTATCATCTTATACTTTCCTTCTGAATAACTGGACCATAGCTTTGAGCCACCTTGCCTGACCTTCATGGATGTGTGTGTGTGGACTGCTGTCCCTTTGAACTGTATTCCCATCACTTCCTGAGGCAGAGTCCTTCACTGACTCAGCTAGACTGACCAGCAGGCAACAGGGATTCTCCTATTCCCTGCTCCCCTGCACTGTCATCACAGGGATGCACCATTACTGGCTTTCTCACCTGGGTGTGGGTATCACACACAGGTCCTCATGTCAGCATGGCAAGCCTTTACCAATTACCTAATTCTGTCTCAAAATAAAATGCTGTACTGGAGAGATGGCTCAGGGGTTAAGAGCACCTACTGCTTTTACATAGAACACAGGTTTGATTCCCAGCACCCACATGTTGGCTCACAACTGTTAAGTACAATTCCATGGTATACACTGCTCTCTTCTGACTTCTACAGGCACCAGACACTTAGCTGGTATACACACTTGCATGTGGGCAGAACAGTTATTATGCATACAAAATAAAAATAATTTTGGAAATTCCATGCTTTGGTATTTGGTCCCATTTTATAAATTTTTTTCTAACTTGATTTTACAAAAAACAGTCTGTTTTCTTCCTAGGAGAGGATATTCTGGTTTGGTAGGTCCCAGGCACACTATTGTTTTGCCCCAAGGAAAAGTGACTAAAAAATTGAAGTACAGAATACTTCATTAAGACTTGCACTGGACAGATCCAACTGCAGATTAGAACTTCACAGTTCTGTTTTAATTTAACATTGTAGGTCTTTGCTTGTCTCAGAGAAGACAATTACAAGACAGACCCGAGTACTACTTTCTTGATATTTGAAATGTCATCTTAATGGAGATTAATCTTCTCAGAGTCAGTCTATGTTTTTGTAGTGTCTTGGCCAACTCTTAGATCCCAGGTCATAGTGTTCATATTCCTGACTTGCCAACTTCCTGGCCTGCCTGTCTGGTAGAGTGCTTTTCAGCCTGAATCATCTTGATAGGCTGGGGTGAATGACCTTCCCTACTGAGTATTCAGACAAATCTGTACTCTCCAAAGTGCTACTTAGAGCACTTGCAAATCCAGAGACTGGACAAAGCCAGCCACCCTATACTTTCATTGCTCTTACGACCTTTTGCTAATCTACCTGAGTGACTAAACCTCCATGCAAGCAGGAACTACATGATCCTATGTTTAATTCAATATGACCAGTGGGGTCAGTGCTGACAAACTGACTACATGCTTTACTTTGCTTAGGCTTGAAAGCTCTGTGCTGTACATTGGGAGGAAGAGACAGGCAGATCCTCAGAGCTCACTGGCCAGACCCTATCTCAGTAAGAGAGTGACTGAGTCACTTTTCTGAGACAGAGTCCCTCAGTGAACCTTAAGCTCATCAACTCAGTTAGACTGCCTGTCCAGCAAGCCTCAGGGATTCTCCTGCCCCTGCTTCTCCTGCACTAGGGATACAACTTTAACAAACTCAGATCATTGAGTCTCCATTAGATCTTGGAATGTGGCCCATAAAGATATTCTTCTGGAGTCAAAGTACCCTCAAATGTTGCCTTTCCTAAGGGATTTAATACTACACCACATTAAAAAAATATTCAGGGTAGGAGACAGGACGGGAAGACAGCTCAGTTGGTAAAGGCTTGCCATGCTGACCGACGAGTGATAACCGCAACCAGGTGAGAAAGCCAGTAATGGTGCATCCCTGTGATCTTACTGTTGAGATAGGATCAGGCCAGTGATCTCTGGGGATCTGCCTGTCTTGACCTCTACAGCATGAGGATTATAGGAGATGCTGCTATGCCTGCCTTTTTATATGGAAGCTGGGAATCTGGATTCAGGTCCTCCTGCTTTCCTGGCAAGCACTTTACTGAAACCAGCATGGTGCTGCATGCCAGTAATGCTAGCCCGTAATGCAAAGCAGGAAGACTGCCACAAGTTTGAGACCAAACTGAACTATCAGGCCAACCAGGGTTATGTAGCAATACCTTTATCTCAAAAACCAACGAGGAGGAGGAAGACCTGACATGCTAGAGTTTCTAGCTTGTCTAGAGGCTCAGGGCCCTGATGGACACTCCTCTGTCCATAAACTTTAATGTGTGGGTTTTCTCACCTTGCAGGATCTTGCTGAGAAGATCTTGTAACAACAATTATTGAATGTCCAGAATCAATTTTTTCTACTGAAAAGACTCATTTATAATCATACCTTGTACTCATTTCAGAGACAGAATTTGGAAGTAAACTGAAAAGCAGAATATTACTAAAATAAGTTATTTATTGCTATCTTAAAAATAAATTAACATTTATTATAGACTATCAAATTTGCTTTAATCTAATCTTAACAAAAGCATAATACATTCCAGTAAACAAGGATTTCCAACTTCATGTGGAACCAAGTCAATTAAACACTTGACTTAGGCAGGGACAAACAGCAGCCACTGCTGTGTAATTCCCAAAATCCACACTCCTTCACATTAAAGGGGAAAACTCAGAGGGGCTCCTCCCCACAGAAAAACGACACATTCCCAAAGCAGCTACAGAGAAGGCGTTAGCTCAAAGTTCTACTTCATATCCCTGAAGAAGGTGGCAGCTTTCCCACCAGTTTTATATAAATGACAGTTTGTTCATGAAAGCAGCCCATTCATGGAATGTGGCAGCATGGTCATAAGTCTTAGGGCTTGGCAGTGTCTGGTCATGTGCCCACATTCAGAGTTAGGAAAGATGCTAAGGCTGTGGGCTGCCATCGTTTCACAGGAACATGAGAAGGTGGCTCTCTTTTCCTTAGAGGTAGGAAGTATTATCCCTCCAGAAGAGCTGGGTCTACAGTTTACCTTACAGTGGACTCAATGAGATGGTCAATAAAACATTTTTTGTCTCTATGAAAGATTTTTCTTGTTAGATTCGCTTCAAAAAAGAGCAATCAGGGTTGAGAGTTAGTGTGTTACTCAAGAGATGTTATTAAGTCTTGTTGAGCATGTCTTCACACCATCCTCTGTTTTTGGCCTCCATATACACAGACGCACTGCACTGCTGCATGGTATATTCCATCTCAATCAGCTGGTGGCATCCAATGGTTAATTTTTCCCTAGGAGAACATGACATGGTAAATCCCAAAACAAATAGTCAAAATCCCAGGACTGCAGAGGCAGAGACAGGCAGGTAACACTGAGTTTGAGAAAACCTGGTCTATGGAGTTCCAGTCTAGCCAGGGCTAAACACCCTGTCTCAACATTTTATTTACCTATGTTTATTTTTTGGGTTTTCAAGGCAGAGTTTCTCTGTGTAGCCCTGGCTGTCCTGGAACTCACTCTGTAGACCACGCTGGCCTCAAACTCACAGGTATCCACCCTAGTGCTGGGATTAAAGAAGTACAACACCGCCGCCTGGCAATTATTTATTTTTAAGTGAATGCATACATGTATGTCTATGTATGGGCTTATGCATATGAGTGTAGTGCCCACAAAGGCCAGGAGTGTGTCAGATCTCCTGGGGATGGAGTTACAGGTAATTGTAAGATGCCCAAGTTTGATGCAAACTCCAGTCAGTCCTCTCCAAAAGCAATATGACCTCTTAACCCCTGAGCCATCTCTTCAGCCCACCACCTACATTTGACCCCTGGACCCACACAGAAGCAAAAAGTAATTCTCCAAACATACACATACCACACTTTTTAAATAAAAAATAGGTAAGTTATTTAGCTGGGTGTGGTGGCTCTTGGGAGGCTAAAGCAAGAAAATCTTCAAATTCAAGGCCACTCTCCCATACATAGTGAGTTCCAGACCAGCATGAATTATAGCATGAACTCCACCTCAAAACAAACACACAACAAAAATAAGAATTGTATATATTTACTGTATGTGGCATGGTTTAAAATTTGTGTACATTATGGAATTGGCTTGGTCAAATTATATAATTACTTCCTAAATCTCTTGAACTATTACTCATGACTGAAATTTTGTGTCATTTAACTAACATCCACCCAATCTTTCTACCACTACCTCCAGGCCTATTTTTGAATTCTACTATTTTGGTTTTGCATAAAGTGAGATCATAGAGTAATGGCATCAAGGTTCATCCATATATCTGCAACAAAAGGACTTCCTTCTTTTCAAAGGCTAAACAGTATTTCTTATCTATTTATTAGCTGGTAGACATTTAGACTGTTCCCAAATCTTGGCTACTGTGATTGATGCTACACTGAAAAATGGAAGTGCAGAAATCTTATAAGTATATCTATTTCCCTTGGATATATTAAAATTTTCTGTCTCTTTCTCACTCTCTGTCTCTCTCAGTGATACTGAGGATTAAACCTAAGACTTTATGCATGTGAGGCAAGTATTCCATCAGCCAATATTCTTAATATTATGTGACAATTTAGAGAAAAAAGGTAAACATGGGGGTTACAGACTTCTAGCTATAATTCCTAGAATTCAAAAATAAGGGTTCCTATGGCAGAACTCTGTAAATAAGCAAAGGTGAAAGTAGAATACTGTGCGTTGAACAGTTTAATTTTCTATCTTACTCTTTGAAGGATCTCTCCTAGCAGGAGGCAGGCTATGTACAGATGTCACCAAGGAGTAAGGGACATCTGTAAGAGAGATGGCTATACTGTATCTACTTCAGTTGGAGAGTTTAAGAAAAATGGGATGTACAGATCAAGTCCTGAAGGAACAGAACTTCAGAAAAGGATAGGTGCCATGCTGCTGGTGGGTAAAAGTGCTTGCTGCTAAGTCTGATGACCTGAGTTTGGTTTTCAGAACCTATGTGGTATGAACAGAGAACCAACTCCAGCAAACTATCCCCTGACCTATACATGCCCCCATGACCAAACAGTAAAACCACTCATGTAAGCCAACTAGCAATTAAATGAATATTCATAACTCCAAAGCAAAGGTGGGATATGGTGGGAGTGATGGTACACACCTTTAATCCCAGCACTTGAGAGGCCAGGGGATCTATTTGACTTTGAGGTCAGCCTGGTCTAATAGTGAGCTTCAGACCAGCCAAGGTTACACAGTAAGACTCTGTCTCAAAATAAACAAAAACTCTGGGAAAGCAGGAAGCCATGCCTACTTCACAATTTTAAAAATTATTACTTTAAAATGTTTACTCTGTGTAGGAGCCCAAATGGCAAATGAAGATGCTGATGGAGTTACTAGGAGGTTCTAAGCTATCCAACTTTAGTGCTGAAAACAAAAATCATTAGAAGAACAGTGAATACTCAAATCTCTAAGCCATCTTTCTAGCTCTAATTACTTTTTTTTAACCTGAGATGAATCCAGTTGACTGTCAAAAGCAAACGGGTCTCCAATTTATAAGACCGCCAGTTCAAGGGCATGAAAGCATTATATTTAACATATTTCCATCTAAGAGATGGTCTCTTTAAGTTCAGGAAAATTACTCAGTATAATCTCTGATGTAGGTATCCAAGAAAGGATAGTTATCTTCATTACACACATGTCATTACTTCATTACACATATGTCATAGCTTCTAAAATGGCTCCAAGCCATGTCCACAGTGTTGGAGAAGACTATTGCTACCTCTCCTCCCATATGATGAATTCCTTGATGTAGGGTACTAAGGGAAAAGAGCTAGTCAGAACTTAGGATTCCATGAGAGAAAGGAAAGACAACAAAAAAGTAAATACAATGTACATGAATAGCCTCACTTCTGGAGGATGTGTGGCTTCTCGGAGACTAAAACCCAATTTTGGGGTTGGGGTTGGGAAAGAAGGACACAGGAGGGAATAATGAGAGGATAACTAACACTAAACACCTTCTGAAAAAGCCCTATAGAGACCACTACACATACACATACACACACACACACACACACACACACGTCAAAGAAATTTAAATGGAGTTATCCTATAATCAGTGCACAACACCTGAACTAGATACCATAAGCTACCAAATAAAAATTCAGTAGTACCAGGAATGTGTTAATTCTTTTTGAGCTGTTAGTCAATGTGAGAAAACAGACCACCAAACATTATAGACTACTGGCACTGTTACCAGAACTAGGTTACCCTCTAGAACTTGACAGTAGATCCTATTGCAGGAAACACCACAAAACTGAGCCACAAACATGGAAAGATCAAGTGAGTGACCTGGAAGTTTCATCCAGCTGTCTAGCTTTTATAGGGCTGAAAGGTGCTATGAATGCTACTACAAAAGAAAACTAATAATCAATCTCACTTAGCCATGAGCTATAATAATGACTTGCCTGGCAAGATATGCCCACTAGATTTACCCACACCTGACACTGTTGGTGAGGCCAAGTACCTGTGACTTGATAGGTCATAGGCCCTTGTAGAAAAGCTACTATTGGGCAGGAGAGATGGCTCAGCAGCTAAGAGCACTAGCTGCTCTTCCGGAGGTCCTAAGTTCAATTTCCAGCAACCACATGGTGGCTTACAACCATCTATACTTATACTATAATCTGATGCCCTCTTCTAGCATGCAGGTATACATTCAGACAGAGCACCTTAATAAATAAATAAATAAATAAATAAATAAATAAATAAATAAATAAATAGATAAATAAATAAATAAATAAATGGATAGATAAATACATAAACGAGCGAACGAATGAATAAATAAATAAATGACATTAAAAAAGAAAATCTACCATTATTAATTCTGCTAAATGGACACAGCATTAAAATGATCCCTAATGACTTACTACTATACCACAGATCAATGCTTGTCTCAGACCTCATCAGAGAACTCTCCTGTAGGAGATGCTGATCTACACAGAGAACCACAACAGTCAATATGTAGAGAGTAAAAGACTTAGGACATACTCATCCCAAAATGGGACATACACTTCCCTTTAAAGATCATGGATCTTTGAGGAAGAGGATGGGAAGAATGTATGAGCCAGAGATAATAGCTGGTGTCAAAGAAATGGTATTTTCTGATTATAACAGGGCAGAGTTACATACAAACTCACAGAGATGTAACAACAGCATTGACAAGACTTACACACACACAAGCCAGACAAAAACAAAATATGTGGGAAGGGAGGTATAGGCACGCAGTCTCACCCTTCCATGAGGAGTTGCTGGCATTTGATAGTTGTCAGGAAAGGCAAAGCCAGTGTTTTCTTAATGGTGTGACCTTTATATTACCACATTCCATGGTAGGTCCCACAGTCAAAAGTAGTTGGCTAACACAAACTAGACTTGATGGGAGAAGGAGAGGGACAGGGAAAGAGAAACACATGAAGCTGGGTGGGTAGGAAGGTAGAAGGGGCGAATACAATCAAAACATACTGTATGAAATTCTCAAAAAATTAATAAAGATATTATTTTTTAAAAAAATTGGCCTTGTTACCCTAGGCCCACTTCCTATAAATAAAGTTAAATTAGTTTTGATTTTGCTGCCAATTCTTTACAACTAATTTTCAGAATAGCCTTGCAAAGGTTCAAAACAGCAGAAATGAAAATTTTCTTATATACTCTAAAATAAAGCAGAAATTAGGCAGGTCCACATTCCTATCCTTGATCCTCTTTTCTCTTTTTTACAGCTGAAAACAAACAAATATACCCTTCAGTAACTGAATCTATTTCCCTTCCCTACCCTCAAGGTTAAGAAGGGGCTTCTTCTCCTCAGCCTAGTGGCACTGAGTTCCTTCCTTTCACATGAGTCAGTATTCAACCATTACTCATAGTTCTTTCCTTCGGCAAGCTGTCAGTGCCAGAAACTGTTCCTTGTAGCTGGTATGGTAAAGGAGATCCTAAGTACCTTTCCTCAAGGCTTAACTGTGGGACAGATAATCAGCACCTTATTTCCTTCCTCCAGCATCTCCAGTAAGTCATCCCCCTTGAGCACTCACCGCTTGGTAATGGGACCCTTGCAAAAGAGAGAAGCAGCTCAATACATTTTTAGATACTTCCTAACTGCAAGAAAGTTTGTCCTTGGGACCCATAAAAGTCATTTATCTGAGTCTAAGTTAAAATGAAAAATATTTCTACTTTCTTCTTCTGACAGTCATATTGTCTCGAGTGCCTTAAATGTGATTTTCATGTCTGAGCTTTTTAAAAAAGTTTTATTTTTATTTATTATTTACACAGTATTCTGCCTGCATGTATGCCTGTACAGCAGATCTCATTATAGAATAGTTGTGAGCCAGCATGTGGTTGCTGGGAATGGAACTCAGGACCTGTGGAAGAACAGCCAGTGCTCCTAACCTCTGAGCCCTCACTTCAGCCCCATGTCTCAGCTTTTTAAGCAGCTCAGATTATAGGGTGCACCACCACACCTACCTAACACTCTAAAGTTCTGAATTGACATACATATGCAGATATGTGGGTAGATAGGGCCCACATGAACAAAAGCTCTTTAGAGGTCTTCAGCAATCTATATCCCAGCTGCTAGGGAGACTGAGACAAGAGGAGTTGTTGGCTCTCCAAGTTCAAAGCCAGTATTAGCAATACAGCAAGACCTTACCTCAGAGTAAATAAATAAATACGATTGTACGTACATGTATACATGAAATAATCGAGGTCAAACATTTGAAAACCACTTTATATAGCTGATAAACTATCATAGGCTTTTTGCATATATAAAATATTCTGTGTTAACAAAGGTTAAAAAAATCTGAGAGCCAGGTGTGGTGGCGCACACCTGTAATCACAGCATTCAGAAGGCAGAAAGCAGACAAATCTCTGTGAGTTTGAGGCCAGCCTGGTCTACAAAGCGAATCAGGGCAGCGAAGGCTAAAAAGAGAAACGCTGTCTCAAAAAACAAAAACAAACAAAATCGTAAAGAGGGGTTAGGGAGATCACTTCAGTAAAAAGTGCTTGCCAGGAAAGCATAAGGACCTGATTCAGATTCCCAGCTTCCACATAAAAATGCACATAATTAAAGCAGCATCTGCCTATAATCCTCATGCTATGGAGACCAAGACAGGCAGATCCCCAGAGCACACGGGCCAGACCCTGTCTCAACAAGAAGGTGGAGACTGAGGAAGACAGATGACTCCTCTACAAGCTTACACATGCATGTTCTCTCTCTCTCCCCCTCCCCACCCATACTCTCTCTCACACACACGCACACACCATATTTTAAAAAGTGGCTTTACCCTCCCATAGTGATAGCAAACAGATGTCTCATTATCTACATATAGATGTGCTTACCGATACTCAGTCTGAGAAACACAATCATAAAGTTCCTGGGCAGTAAATTTGACATTTTTGTTTACCTAAAAAGAAGCAAACTACAGTTATTAAGGAGATATGTTAAATGAGCAATGAAAGTACAATTAGAATGGGTCATATCTTGAGAGCAGAAACTCAGATCTTCAGTCACTGCCTAAAACACAACAAAAATAGGCTGGAGAGATGGCTCAGTGGTTAAGAGTTCTGGCTGTTCTTCCAAAGATCCTGAGTTCAATTCCCAGCAACGACATGGTGGCTCACAACCAACTAATGAGATCAGGTGCCCTCTTCTGGTGTGCAGGCGTACATGCAGACAGAATACTGTATGTATATTAAATAAATCTTTTTAAAAAGACAACAAAAACAGTGACAGGAAGAAGTTCAGTGACCATAATGTTAACACTGAACTATGTACAAACTTCAGTCCTATTTACAACTATCTATTCACAGAACTGAAATAGTAGAAATGAGATAGACCTGAATGTAGTAGAATCTTTGAAAAGCAGATTACTTTGGTGTTCAACTGACAGAAACAATGCTACTGTAAATGGAGCAAAATATCTGATTTAGAAAAAGGTTTGACTTACAATTATTTCTGTCCCTTGCTCTTCCCTTCCCCCACCTCCATTCATTCATTCACTCATTCACTGATTCCTTTTCTTCCTCTCTCCCTGATTCTTTATGGTCCTAGGAATCCAGCTCGTAGCTTCATGCATGCTAAGCAAATATTCCACTCCAGAACTATGCCCTAGTCCATGAACATTTTCTTAAAATCTGTATTTTTAAAACCCAGAGACATAATTTATATAACTATAAATGTAAAAGTCTACCACTCAAATTGTTGCACACTTGAAACACAAAATGAAAGAATATTTTCTTTTCTGAAATTTGATTTTATCATTAGTGTGTGAGTATGTAAGCTAGTGTGGTGGTATTTATGCCATGGTGCAAATTGGAGAGTAAACGGGTTTCAGGGAAGAAAGTCACATCACCAAGCCGGCACAGCCTGCACATTGTTACCAGCTAAGCCATATCGTGAGCCTAGAATCTTTTCTTTCTTAGAACTCACTACTACTGATGCAATGAGTCACTGGTCTGTTCCACGGCCTATGGCTTCTGCTACACTATCAAAACTAGAGGCTCACCCAGACTTCTCTCAGCTATCCCACTGTTACCCTGTGTCACAGAGATTCTGCAGCTTTGGATCTGCTGGACTGACCCCTTCATGTGATCCAGCAGTTCATATATGTAGATGGAGTAGATATTTGGGTGGGCCAACTCAAAGCCCTGGATCTGGGCCTGGGTGGTAGCTGAGTAGTTCAGCCCTACAGCTCTCCCAACACTGGTCCCAGTGGCTTACCCAAGGGCCTAAATCGGCAAGGGGTGGGGTCAGCTTTCTCTGCTGCAGGCTAGCTTGTATATCTTAAATACACACTTTTTAAAAACAAGCAGAGAAACATGTCACTTGCAAATTTTTATGATACTCAGAAGCTTTAAGTCAGCCTCTATAAGACAGCAAGATCCTGGCTCAAGAAAAATCTTCATTTAATCAAAATATTAATAGTAATCTTACTGTATTTTTATAGCCAAACAATATAGAAATACAATATATTTTCATACCTCATACTTGATTAGGAAGTTATAGAGCATCTCAACATCTTGATAACTACTATTAGGAGCCAAAATCCTAAAAACAAACAAAGGACCATAAAAATTAATTTTTAAAAATACTTTTTTCTCCTTCAAACTTATACATATTCATTATAAGTTTATTAAATTTATTAAGTTTATTTACAGGTTCACAAAACCATTAACTCAATTCAACTGAGATCAATTCACTAAAATATTTTAGTTAGTTTAACACCTATACATTAATGATCACAAGACAAGTCATATAGCCCAGATTGGCCTCAAACAGGATATATAGACAAGGTTGGCTCTGAACACATAATCCTCCTGCCTCTACCTCCCAAGCACTGAGATTATAGTGCCTATCTGCCATAAACATTCTTACATGTGAAATAATTATAATTCATGTATTGCGTTATAATAACACATGGTTCTCAAAAGGGAGTAATGTGAATTTACACTCCATATATTTTAAGCTGCAGATGTCTTTCTATAATGCTCAAAAGACAACAAACAAAATATAAAAGATTGTATAAAACAGACATATAAAAGATTGTAGCCAAATTCAAATAACACCGAGCTATCAGCATAGTATTCTATGAAAACCAACACTTAATCAGACTACAAGAACGCATGGAAGTAACATGGAACAAATGATAAAAATCTTGACTAAAAAGAGAGGGCAATATTTTCCACCCTCTAATAGGTATTCTTTTGTACTGCTTGCTTATTTTTTAAAATCTACTCATTTATTGTTTGGTGGCTTTGAGTGTTTTGTCTACATGTACTGCATGGCCGCCTGGTCCAGATGGAGGCCAGAAGATGTTGGATCCCCTGGGACTGGAGTTACAGACAGTTGTGAGCCTCCATGGATGCTGAGAACTGAACCCAGTCCTCTGGAAGAGCAGCGAGTGCTTCTAATCACTGAGCCACTGCTCTAGCCCCTCATATATACATTTATTTTCCTATCTATTAACTAAGAATAATATTAAGTATTTGTTTCACAGAGCTTTTGTATGAAATAAATGAGTTACTATTAGAAGCCTCAGCCAGGTATGGTGGCATATGCCTATAACATGAGTATGTAAAGAATTAACATGGGAGATTGCCTCTTGTTTAAGACTAGTCTTGGCTTCACAGTGAGTTCCAGATACCCTGGCTTGTCTCAAAATTAAATAAATATAATTTGCAATAATAAATTTTATTTATCATAGGCTTATTTATCTTAGGTTTGGGGAAGCTTTTTGAGACAAAGGTTTCATGTAGCTTAGGCTGAACTAAGCCTGAACTACATAGTTGAGGCTGTCCTTTAATTTCTCATCCCTGTATCACCATACCTGGCTCAGAAAAGCCCTAATTGTGTCAAAGATGCAGAAAATACCATATATAAAAGTTATAACTAACATAACTACCATCAACAGCTTTGCCTACTTTCAAGCCACAAAATAAATGAACAGTGCCGTAACTAATAAGGAATCAAGACACTTTAATTAACTCTTAAATTCCAAGGGGCTTTTATCCACAACAATGTTCCTAGGCCCTCATGTCCTTTCCAATCATAAGGTTTCATGAAAGCTAAGTGATATCAAAAATTTCACTGTATCTTTATAGATTATTTGTCTATATTATACTCATGAAAGCTTTTATAAATATTTCAGGATATAGTCAAACTTGAAATGGACTCTGGTATTTTAGAAAGGGAACAATCCAATGTATATTTAGCATAAAAATCTGAATAACTCCAGTTTTGTGGGGAAAGGTTTTCTCCCATCAAGGATTTTTAAAATATAATTTAAAATACAACCTCATGATAGGCAATGGTGACACACACACACACACACACACACACACACACATATATATATATATATATATATATATATATATATATATATATGTGTGTCATATATATATATATGTGTGTCACATATATATATAATCCCACATATAATCCCATATAATCCATATAATCCCAGCACTCGAGAGGCAGAGGCAGGCAGATTTCTGAGTTCAAGGCCAGCCTCGTCTACAGAGTAAGTACCAGAATAGTCAGGGCTACACAGTGAAACCCTGTCTTGAAAAAACAATGAAGTAAGCAAAAATATACAAAGATAACCCATAAGCCATATAAACGCACACACATACATACACACATATATGGACAATATATCTGGGATAGAAAAAGTAATTTACTATAAAAAATACAGCACATTATCACTATGTGCAGTCAACCTACATGCAATATTATACAAGAGCTTCTTACTCCTAGATATAACTTTGTACCATGGAGCTGTATGTACAGATCAGTGCCTTGTTCAACTATCATCAGAGAGTCTTCCTCCTACAGCAGACAGGAACATAGAGGGACCCTGAGCCAGAGAGTATGCAGAGAGGAGAGACCTTGGAACACTTAGCCCTAAACAAGAGGTCTCCATCAAATTCCTCCCTTTGGAGCTCAGGAAACCATGTGGAAGAGGAGGCAGAAAGAGTGTAAAAGCCAGAGGAGATGGACACCAAGTAAACAAGGCCTTCTAAATAAACATGAACAAAGCTCATATGAACTCAAGAGAGATGGAAGCAGCATTTACAGGGGCTGCACCAAGTCCTCTGTATTTATATCATGGCTTCCAGCTAATTTTTTTTATAGGATTCCTGAACATGAGAACAAGTGGGTCTCTGATTCTTGTGCCTTCTCTTAGGCTCTTTTCCTTCTGTTGGTCTGTACTGTCCAAGTTTGATGTGGTAGTTTTTGTTTTAGTTTGTTATATTTTTAAAGATGGATGGATGGATGGGTGGATGAAAGCCTAACCACGAGGATAAAGATTAACAATTGATCTGTCACTTATACCTGCTGGGAGGAGGAAAATCAATATTCTCAAATGGAATAACAGTGGATATATTAACCATTCCAGGACAGGCCTCATATTCAGAAGTACTTGACCAACATAAAACGGACCCAGAGGTTTTTTTGTTTTGTTTTAAATATGTGTTTTTATGTGGTTAGTTTTTTTTTTTTTTTTCTTTTTGGGTGTGGTTTTATTTTGTTTTCTTAGTATGGGAGATTTTTTGTTTGTTTTTTGAGAAAGAACGTAAAGTTGGGTGGATAGGGAGAGAGGATCTGGAAGGACTCGAGGAGAAGAATATAATCAAAATACATTTAAATTTAAAACTTGTTTTAAATACTAAAAAAATTAATTATACTAGAAGGTTGAATTTAGCCTTCATTACATCCTATCAAGCCTGAGTTTAAGAGAATAGAATTTGTACTGGTAGGAAAAAAACGCAAACTTACTCATTACAAGAATAGCTTTACTTTACCTTAAGGGTCTTTTGCTTATATATTATGGTTTACAATCATGTGTTTTATGGGTTTTGAGTGAGTAAATATGTGTATCTGAGTGTCTATGTGTTTCTCATGCTTTTTTTTTTCCTGTTTTGTTCTGCTTTATTTTATTTATTTTTTTTTTTTGAAAAAAAATTTTTTTTGCCTGATTGATTTCTTTACAAAGAGAGAAAGAGGGGCTGGAGAGATAGTTCACTGGTTAAGAGCACTACTGCTCTTCTAAAGGACCCAGATTCAATTCCCAGCACCCACACAGCAGCTCACAACTGTCTGCAACGGCAATTCCAAGGGATCTGACACCTTCACACTAACGCACATAAAATTAAATACATAATTTTTTTTTTAAAGAGAGAATGAATGCATACAGTTGGACACTGAGAAACTGGGAGAACAGGAGGGAGTGGAAACAACAATTAGAATATATTGTCTGGGGGCTGGAGAGATAGCTTAGTGGTTAAGAGTACTGACTGCTTTTCCAGAGGATCGGGCCTCAATTCCTAGCACCTACATGGCAGCTCACAACTGTCTGTAATTTCAAAAGAATATATTGTCTGGAAATTTTTTCAATAAAAATTTAAAACAAAACTCTTTCACTAGATTCTATCTTTTTGCCTGCTAACTGAAGGAGATATAAGGATTAGGAAACTGTGTAAGATTATGCTAAGAGCTATTTGGGCAATTATCAAAGACTTTTTCACCTACTCTAAATGTTAATGCCTTTTTGATCTCCTTAGCCCTTAAAGTTTTTCAATTTATTTATTTTCTTATTCTTTATTAGCTCTATATTTCTCCCTGCTGTACCTCTTTTGAAACCTCTATATTAACTAATCATCTACTGCATACTAAATAAGTATCCCTCAATTAGAAAGAGTATTAATACATTCACTAATATGTACTGGACAAGAAATACAGCTCAGGTGGTAGAATATTTGTATAGCATGCACTGGGCCTGGTGACACATACCTATCATCCCCACACTGGGGAAAAAAAAGGCAGAAATATCAGAAGTTCAATGGTCATCTTTGGCCACATAGTGAGTCTGAGGCCAGTCTGGGTTACATGAGACCATGCCTCAAAATAAAAAACACCCAAACATTTACTGACCATCTATTGGCCAATAACATGCACAATGTTCTAGACATAGAAAAGGCACTTTCTGCCTTAAAGTCTTAGGAGGCTTGTTATAAACCACAGAAAATAAAATTATGTATAAATAGGACATGGATGGTAGAGCAACTATGTCTTGTCATTTACAAACAATAGGTTATATTATTTTTCTGGTACTCACCAAAGCAACTAATATACCTGGTGACAGAAAGACCCAGGAGTATATGGAAATCCTGATAAAGAGGCAAAGTAATGTCTAAGAAACCACTGAAAAATTTGAGGAGGACTAAGGGTAGGAGGGGGTCTAATCATCCAGATCAGCATTTCTCAACCTGTGGGTCACCTAAGACCATAGGAGGAAAAAAAAATCACACATTTATTATTTATGATTCATAAAAATAGCAAAATTAGGGGGGGAATCCAAGATGGTGGTGCTGGGACGACACTGTGTCTGAAGATCAGGACTACAGTGACTACACAGCAACCAACAGACCAAACTCTGGGCCCTAAAACACCAGCGATTGTGTTTCTCAGGTAAGTGGAAACCCCATGGTGAGGGAACCATCAGGTCCAACCTCAGGGTACTCAGCTGACCACCCTCCCACCAA